GTTTCCTTTTTATGCCTTAATTGAGTTACTTTAGCGTGCTATAGTCATCATGTTTAGCCTAATTTCACATGTCTACCTGTCTTATCTCTTAATTGCATCTTGTACTACATATTTAATTGAATTACTTGCTTTCTTAATTCCGTATTCATTACTTAACTGTGGGATTCTCTACTTAAAATTGCTATCCTTGAAATATCTTGTTGTTGAGTTTGGTGTTGAGTTGCAAAGGTCGTGGTTTCTTTTGAGGCAAGGTGTAAGTTGTGAAATTAGTTGTTATGTTTTGGTTTCGTGTTATTGTTGAGGTTATTGTTTTGTTGTTACACGAGATTTCTGTCGTGCTGTTGTTATTGTTTGCATGAGTTTTCTGTTGTGTGGTTGTTACTATTTGCACGAGGTTTATGTCGTGCCGTTGTGATTATTGATACGCATGCGGTGGTATAAGACATGGGTGTTGATACGCATGCAGTAAGATAAGGTGGGCTTGATACGCGTGGCTAGTAGGGGAACTACTAGAAGCCATGTGGTGTGATAAGGTGGGCTAAAACGCGGGGTGCTATTTCGGAAAAATAATTTTCAAAACTAAATGTAAAGGCTCCAGCGGTGATATAAGAAAAGTGAGTTATTTTTATGATTTGAGACTACGAGGCGGTACCTCGGGAGTACCCCTGTTGACCTTCTCTATTTGCTGTATTGTTTGGTTATTGTTTCCTTAACGTGTGAAGTTAGGCTTAGCTAGTTCCCAACTTCAGACCTTTGAGGTGAAGTTTTCAAATTTCAGCCCAAAGGTACGGAGTTGTAAACTAAAGAAACTAGACTTTAACAATTCCAACTTTCAAACTTCATACTCGGGATTTTTAACTTTAATCCCTGAAAACTTCAGCCTAAAGGTCTGAAGTTTTATTCTAATTGAGAACCTACATTAGATCCTTTGGCAATTCCAACTTCAGACCTGATGGGCTGAAGTTTGAAACTTCATACCCGGGATTTTCAATTCCAGTTCCACAGATATGAGTTTCATTCTATGGAGCTAAACTTTACAAACTTTACGAAGTTGGCTATCATTTAAATAGGAATGGAGAAATGGCTATTTGTGCACTTCCCTGGTTAAAATTAAAAAATAGCCACTTTTCATCTACGTAATTGAAAAATAACCACGATATATTTGACCATCTTAATGAGTTTATTAGAAATAAATTTGAATTTAGATTACTTGTCAAATATCAAGGAAATTTTAGTGACTCACTTTCCAAAGTAGTTCTTGCAGGAAAATATGCTGTTACCTTAGTCTCTTAGATTTAATTTCTTTAATCTGCTACAGAATTATAGGAAGTTAAGTTGTTTGACCTTTTCATATTAGAATTTATTTTGTTACTATATCTCCATTAATTGAAAGTTTGGTGCATGTCTTTTTCTTTCCTATAGGCTATAAATATATTGTTAAAGCAACAGTTAAGACATCAACCATAACAATCATATAGTTACTGCAGTGCTACCAAAATACTTGGAAGAGAATGGAGAAGGCAACATTCCTTAAGATATTTTTAGTCTCTTTTTTGCTTATTTTATTAGGTAAACAATTTAGATCAACTTACCTATATTATATATTAAGTAGAAGTTCATATTCAACCAGGTTATAGTCACACTTTGTTTATAAATTTGAGGCAATGCATTTTTTTGTCAGAAGCTCTTTCTAACAAGTACTTATTTTGATCAAGCTTCCAAAATCTGCTTATTTTGAAAAGTATATGTTGTCAGACTTTCTAATATAAATAATTTTTCTGAAAAATAAGCACTTTTAACTTCCCAAAAAATTTACGCAACATGCTATTAGTATCTAAAAGATATCGCTCATACTTCAAAGATCGAATGTCTACTTTTATTTTTGCATTATATTAGCCAAAATGTTATAAATATATAGATATTAAATTATCCTTTCTTCTACAAATAATTTATTTTCATATTTATTCTATATATTGTACTATATATTTTCTTTTCTAGCAAATTGTAAGTATAGCAATTTGTGTCTTTTTATATGTTTAAATATGATAAGTCTAGTTAATTTTTTGTTTTTAATAACTTAATATTCAACAATGTCTCATTGATGCTAGGACATTCAAGCAATGGGATATTTTTATGCTCTAACGATGCCGATTGCGCTGGAATTATGAAATGCATAGACGCCGCAGATCCCAAATGCGACTTAACTGCAAAAGCGTGCTTCTGTCCAAAACCTCCGGCAGCTAATAATGGAGCAAAAAGAGTTCAGAAGACTGACCAAAAGTGATTTATGATTGAATTTTTCATTGGTAATAAGGATCAATAAAATTCCCTAGCTTATATCCATCTTTATATATGTTGGAAAAGGATATTTTCCATTTGAATTTATTACTTGCATAATGCATTTTTCCATCTATAAATTTCTTCGAGCCAATTTTGTTTAAGGGATTTAAGGAACTTAATTTTTAAAGATTCCTATTTGAGGACAACATTAAGTAGAAATGACATCAGGTAGCCACTCTAAAGGGCTACTATTTAAGAAATAGTCAGTGCGTCTTGAATTTCAGTTTTTCGGTTCAAATTTTGAGGACAAAAATGTTCTGAATTGTCCTGAAGTTAAGATTTTTAGTATTAAAATTCAAGACAAAATAAGTACAGGCTAATCTTGAAATAACATCCATGAGAATGACTATATGTGCACTTGCCTCTAAAATTAAACAGGATTCAATTAATCGAATGGTTACGGATGATTCAAATAGCGAAAAGGATAGCTTTGACTTTCTCTAAGTATTGCTGCATTCGGGTTTCCTGTACCACGTAGATTCCTTGAATTTAATTAATCACGAGTTGAACGTCTCTTTTCAACTCGATGTGTTCAATGCCGAGTCCCCTGTCTATTTCAAGCTTCAAACCTGAGTTTCATACTCGGCTTCATTATAGGTATATAACACATATTCAACACCTTTTGTCGGGAATTTTTTTTACTTCTTCCAAATTTGAACACTCTTGGAATAGTTCCTAGCTTCATCACTAGTGATAGAGTGACATTTCTCCACTTCTCCGGATGGTACGGAAAGCACTATATCGAGTTCAGAACCTTTAATATTAGATGACCCGTCCCCGTCTCTATAGAGGGTCCAAGTTATGAGAATGTCCTAGCAGCATGGGGTTGATATATGATATCGTACTCACTAAGTTCAACTAACAATATGGCAAGTCGCCCCGAGAGCTCCGGTGTATGGCCCCGACAGCAGTTGCTCGTAACAGCAAATACTATCCATCTAAGTCTTCAGGTAGGGAGAAAGAATCAAATATCTTTTCACCAAATATCAAAAAGTTTAACTTTTAATATTTATTTGTTTTTTTATTGTTCTATAATTGAATCAATGATATAAACGTTATACAACGATTCATAGTATACGCTTAGATTAATCATGATGGGATGGAAACAAAAAAGGGATCTTTACCTATCTATACTATATTGTAAACTTATTTACCCTTCATAGAGGAGAGGTTATTACTTAATTACATTAGCATGTACAATTTACTATTTATATACAAAATAATATATTAGACTCCAATCTTATCCATTTTAGGCTACATTCTTCTCTATTTTTCTTCTCCCTATAGACATTTCTCTCTCTGTTCCTATTCGATTCAGCTTTTGCAGATGACATGCTCAGAGCTTTGAAGAATGGTGAAGAAAAATAATTCAACAAGTTAAAAGCCATAGAACATACATGAAGCACCAATATAAATGGGTTACAAGAACTTTTTTTAGATGAATAAAAAAGAAATTGTCAACAAAAGTAGCGTTTGGAACAAAACTGAAACTAATTGATGGTGTAATTGAAACTAAACTGAATTTGGTCATGTATACATGAGCTTAAACTCCATTGATAGCAATTAGAAAGCTTAGAAACTTTGAATTCGAAAATCAAAATTTGCAAAATTATGTTTGTTTGGATTGAGTGTTGTTGCAAGTGATTGAGAATATCCTTTCGAGTTTATATCTCAATTTTCAGAGAATTTGGTGAACATTCGAGATGGTTTTGGTTGGAATTTCATATTGAAACTCGAAAAAAAAGACATAAACAAATTGTATATATATATTTTGTATGTTGGGTGTAGAAACAGTATACAAAATATCTACAACTTACATAATTGTATACAAGTTGTATATAAATTATATTTAAATTATAGTTTTTGACCGGATTCTGTACAAAATATTTGTATTTAAGTTGTAGAGAAATTGTAGATAAATTATAGATTATGACCGGATTTATATATATTTTGTAAAAAACTTTAGTTACTTTCTGTAAATATAAAAACTTAGATAAACCAGGTAAATAAGTGTAAAATCTCGTATATATAAGAAAAAGTCCCAAAAGAAAAAAGATTAATCATGATGGGCTCTACATGTTCAAGTTTTTATTTTATAATAATTTGTTATTTGATTTTTGTTCAATGTACATTAATAAGAAAATAAGAATTGTTTTAATAAAAGTTGTAATAGAATTCTTTTTTAAAACTAATGCTGTAGGTTGTCGCAGCTAAAATAGGAAGAATGTCTTTAATATTAGAACAAAGGAAGTTGTGTACTAATAATAACAACTTAATGTGCTCAAACAAATAAGATAACAATCTTTTATAATTAATTTTCTTTAATATTAATCGCCAATTGCTCGAGCTGTAATACTAGTTAGAAGTTTTAATTGTTAATCTGGTTGGCTGAACATTATTCTTCTTTTTACAGATAGACATGGGCATAGGGATAAGTCAAATAAATTGTTTAATACTTACTAAAGGAGGTTTCTGATTGCATATTTCAACAACAAATGAGTTTATATACTACAAATGAACTTGAATTTAGATTACTTAGCAAATTTGGTTCATTGATAGAATCTTTCAAACATATGTAGTTAGCACAGTTGGAAAGTTGACTATGGGATGATGCAAGGGTGCCATAACATAGTGGTTTAGTTAATTAATCAGAAGGAAAATGGGAGGGAAAATGCATGATTATATATAAGGTAGCATCTGAAATTTTTGCTGAACTTCATATACATTGATGTATACATTTGCAACACCTTAAGCAAATGTCTATGTTATAGTTTCAAGTTCCAATATACAACAACAACAACAAGGACGACGATCCCATTGAATCCCACAAGTGAGGTCTGAGGAGGGTAGTATATACGCAGACCTTACCCCTACCTTATGAAGGTATAGAGACTGTTTTTGAGAGACCCTCGGCCCAGAAAAAGCATAGTCAAGTTCCAATATGGTGGACTTATTATTCCTATGATTGAGATAAACCTGCAATTTCCTTGAGTGGCTTCCACATGAACTTTCTCCTGTACATTCCATAAATAGAATTGTCATGTAATGAATCAAAATATAAAAGGCTCCTATATATTCAAATATAAACATGAACTTTCTATAGTAAAATTCTTGTCCTAATTCCAGGTAGCTGTTGCATATAATGTTGTTCAACGACGAAGTATATGAAAAGGGAAGCCTTACCAGTTACCACACTCTGCGATGACCTTTACTTTAGGACGAAGCGTTGGAAGTAAAGCAAGAAACTGCAGCTCTGCCTTTGATAATACCTGAACAGTTTTAAGTCTAGAAGTTAACAGATCTAGCCAAAATACAGCTAACAAAATAATAAGACTATGCACATTTTAAGAGGTTGATTTAACCTTGGCTTCTATTATCCAAACCACTAGTCCTTTGGCATTTGGAGGAAGTAAAGAAAGCCTATAATCAACTTCTGGAGGAAAATACCATCTAGCTATTGGTTGCTTCCCAACATGCGCCTGCAACATCATTATTGCAAGTGCAAGTCAATCAGATTGTATTTGAGAATAAGCATATTGCGCGCAGATTACTATAACTTACAGGGCAGACAGGGTGAAACTTAGTAAGAGTGGTTTCAGGATCACCGAGGCCACGAGCAGAAAGATCCAAGAAATGATATCCTTGGTATTTAAGACGTGTAAGGTAGCGCCCTTCATAACCGCCTTCGTGTGGAGAATAAATTGCTAAGGCTTTGTGTTCTTCAACATCTGATAACCATTGGCCTAAATCCAACTTAATGAGATCTCCACCTATGAAGTCCTCAAGTTCAATGCTACATCTAACTACTGTTTTCTTTTGTCTTCCCACTGATCTCAGTCTTCTCATTGTCATAGTCTTTGACGTGCTATTTATCTGTACTCGTTGCTTTTGCAGACCGTAAGACAGTAGTGCCCCTTGATAGCAGGCTGCAAATGTCATTTTAGTTCAAATTTTCATAGTACAAGGGGGGAAGAACAAAGGCACCATAATGAAAACCACCATATTTACTTATGACTTTGTAAAAAATAAGGCTTTGGTTTATTTGTCATAAATAAATGATTGACATGTATATTTACAACCATCTCTTGTTCCCTGCCTACATAATTTTTTTGGAAGTGAGTCATGGTAAGTTTAAAGAGTTAAAAAGACTAAACCACAATTGAAGCAATGGCATCAGTAGGTCTAGTGGTGAAAACAAAAGTGTAGAATTTAGGTGCACATCACCAGTACGAACCCTGCTGCAGACAAAAAGTCTAGTATTTAAGTGGAAAAGAATAGAGGAGCGGACCCATTATCTACTGAATTTCGAACCATAAGCCACACGCGCTAGAAATTTCTCGATTATTAAAAAAAAAAAAAAAAAA